TTTGTTCCCCCTTGCTTGTTCAGATAAAAGACGGTAGCTATATTGTCTGAAGTTATCTGAACTATCTGATGATGAAGGAGGTCCTCGAAAGAGCGCAGGGCTTTGAAAACTGCCAGTAGTTCTAGGAAGTTGATATGATTTGTGGGTTCTAGACGATTCCACGTACCCTGGGTAGACAGGCCGGAGCATATCGCTCCCCATCCTAGAAGAGACGCGTCGGTGCCAAGGGTAATCGTAGGAGGTCGCGCCCTGAAGGGGATTTCTATCGTAAGATTGGTCTGTTCCAACCACCAACGCAGAGAGTGAAGCACGGAAGATGGGATCTAAATCAGTCTCGACTGTGGATCTCTTTGAGGATGGTACACCTTGTTGAAAAAGAGTTGCAGTGGGCGAAGCCGAAGCCTGACATGTGGAACTATGGCAACTGAGGAAGCCATATGCCCCAGGATCCTCTGGACAGACCTCGCCGAGACCATTCCCTCTCATCGGATTCAATGGATGTGGCGAGCAAGAGTCTGTTGTCTGTCCTGAGGGAGGAAGGCTTTTTCCAACGTCGAATCCAAGCGGGCTCCAATGAAGGTGAGCATCTATGTCAGGAGAAGGGAAGATTTCTTGGCATTAATACGTAGGCCTAGGCTATTGAGCAAGGCACAAGTTGTATGGATGGCCGCAAGGAGTCCTTCTCTGGACTGCGACACCAACAGCCAGTCATCGAGGTACGGATAAATTTGTATGCCCTGGAGGCGTAGGAAGGCACAGACAGGAGCCATGCACTTGGTAAAAACCCTCAGGCGTAGCCAGTCCAAAAGGCAAAACTATAAACTCATAAAGTTGGTTTGCAACCGCAAAATGAAAGAAACGCCTGTAACTTGGGTGAATTGAAATATGGAAGTAGGCGTCCTTCAAGTCCAATGAGGCGAACCAATCCTCTCTCCTTAGCAACGGCAAAATGTTTTGAAGGGTAGTCATACAAAACTTTTGGTACAATAAACTTATTTAAGTTCCTTTAGTCCAAAATCGGACATAGACCACCATCCCGCTTAGGGACTGTAAAGTATCTGGAATAGAATCCGTGGAGTCTGTCAGATGGGAATACTTGACGAATCGCTCCTTTACGAAGAAGTTTATGTATTTCATCAAGCAGTACCGGTGAACATGAAGTGGACCGGATCAGACTCGACGGAGGAACGATGTCGAATTCTGTTCGATAGCTGTGTTGAACGATGGACAATACCCACTGATCAGATGTGATGGACTCCCAAATGGGGAGTCGGCTTCGAAGCCAATCCCCAGATGAGAGGGGGGTGGGTATTGGTGGAGCGTGAGGAATGGTTCGTCAGTCCCGTCAATGTTGCCTCCGATCGTTGAAATGACGGCGGCCTTGTTGGAAGCGTTGTTGGGGCTGAGGACAGCGGTGCTGCTGTTGCTGGTGGTGTTGTGGCTGCTGCCTCGGTTGATATGATTGCCTGTAGGATGGACGATTCCAGGACCACTTACGTCTGGCGTGGGGCTGTATCTCCATCCTGCGTGCCGTCATCCTCGATTCATGCAGCTTCTTGAGCTTGTGGTCGGTGCGAGAATGGAAAAGCCCAGATCCATCGAAAGGCATTTCCTCGATCCGGCACTTGGTTTCTTTCGGAAAATTACAATTCCGAAGCCATGCATGCCTTCGGAGAGAAACGGCACTGACCAAGGCCCGTGAGTCAGTATCCACGTGGTGCCTCGCCGTGGATAACTGCTGCACCACGACCTGCATGGCTTCCTTAATCAGGACCTTCGCGAGGTCACCCTGGTGGTCCGGGAGGGTGGAGGTGACGTTGTGCAGGCACTGCATAATAAAGTATTGATACCTCGCCAACGTCGCCTCGTAATTTGATATACGGAGCCCCAAGCCTGGAGCAGCGTAGACTCGCCTAGCCAGGGAGTCTAATTTTCGCTCCTCTTTATCCCTCGGTGCTGTGTGCCCTCTCGCCTCTCTGCCCTGCGAGGATTTGACGACCGCAGAGTTCGGTTTGAGATGTCGGAGGAGGAAGGTGATGTCCTCCTCCCGAACCCTGTACATCGACTCATATCTCCTGGACGTCGGCTGAGGATGTGATGGCAAGTCCCAGCGCTGCGTCATCGCTTGCCGCAAGGTGGTTATGAGTGGCAGGACAATGGATGTCGATTGCTCCCCGCAGACGACATCGTAGAACTTGTCCGTCGTCGGTCCCAGGCGCTGGGCAGCGTCAATGTCCAGGGACTGGACAAGTCTAGACATCAGCTCCGCGAAGGAGATGTGGGACTCATCAGGCAACGCAGGAGCCTGGGATGTCACAGCAACGTCCAGAGAGGTTGAGTCGACCTCCACGTCAGCCAAATCGGCACTGTAGTAGGGTGGGGCCGAAGATGATGACTCCGCCAGGGAGAAGGAGCGGCTGCTTCCACCCTGTGGGGATCAAGGTGATGCCCGCCTCGGATCCAATGAGCGCGGTTGGTCACGGGATGGAGGATTGTGCCCTGGCAGCAGGGTAGTACCCTACGGAGAGTGGATCACCCCAAGTATGGTAGTAGGGGCAATGCCAGCTCTCCGGATGTTGCTCTACGGAGCGGCTCCTCTGGCTTCCCGGTGGGGACAGTCCAACGTCCGCTTCCATTGTGACCGCAGGCATGGGTGTCGGTGACCTTGCCCTAGGAGGGGAGTCCTGGATTTCCCCATCGGATATTGAACCCCGTAGAGTTGGAAGGGGTGCAAGTGGGAGGTCAACCACACGGCGGGGAGACCCTTGAGGGGTAACCTGCATAGCCTCCTGGAGGACCGGTTCGGGCAGAGTCGGTACCGTAAGCGCCACCGGTACCGAGGGGCCCATCGGATCTGAGTCCCGATGTTGGGGACGGTCCGAATTCCTGGTTTTCTTGGGAGGCTTGGAGACCTTCTCCTTCCTGGCCTTTTTATGGCCTGCCGACTTCTCGGATTCGGCATGCTTCCGCTTTCCATGCTTCTTTTAGGTGAAGCAGAGGGAGCCACCAAAGCAGACGCACCTTCATCGGAAGGCCGTGAGGGTGGGGCCACAGAAGCGGAGCCAGGTCTTGGGACGGCAACAAGCAGGTCTGATTGCATCAGAGCCTGATCCCAAAGGAGTCTCTGGAGGCGGTTTTTGCGGTTCTTCCTGGCCTGCTTGGAGGCCAGGCAATGTGCGCATTTATCTGTCCTATGCCCCTCTCCCAGGCAGAGGAGGCATAGGTCATGCGGGTCAGTTGGTGCCATTTTTGACCCGCAGTCCACACATTTGCGGAAAGCCGCTCGCTGTGCCATCGCAGAAGAAGAAGAGAGGGATAGTGCAGAGGGTAAGTATATATTTTTGTTTTGTTTTTTCAGATAGATCGAAAGTAGAAATAATAAGAGAAAAACTACGAGGAACAATGAACTGGGAGCAAGGGGGTTTTTTTGTTTTTTTTTTTAGAAGAAAAAACTGGGAAAGAAGGACAATCGAGAGCAAGGCAACAGCTCTAAGCGAAAGTCGAAAGCGGCATGAGGCAGAGTGAACGGCAGTCGCAAAGACTGAACAAAATGGCGGATGCTCCGCTCTTTATAGGCCACAGGGGGAGGGGGAGCGGAGCTTTCCGCCAAAAACTGCAAGCTGTCAATCTTCCGGCCACAGGCACCGCGCAGGCGCAGTACCCATATGTGTGATGCACAGAGGCCATGATGAAGAAACTTTGCTACTTCCAGGGATAATGGGGGGTCCAAAGCTTCCCTTTACACAGCTTTGCTTTACACCATGGTACCTCTAATGTGGTGTTGTGTTGGAACTTGGACATCCAGCAACATCTCCCATGATTAAGTAACAAACCTGCAATTTCTTAGGATCTCTACAGGGACAAGCACTTTTTAACTTGTTCATCAATGATGAGGGCTTATGGATAAGCTGTAAGGTAGCCAAATTTGGGGATGACAGCAAATTATTTAGAGTGGTTTAACACCAAAATGGATTGCAGAGTGCACTTTCTGCAAATCTTTCCTACTTTTCTGAACTGGCAATGCAACCATACATGGACAAATTACAATTTCTTTATACAGATTCTAAAATGTGATCACACCTGGAATATCGTGCTGTGTTCCAGGCTGTGCTTCTCAAAAAATGGATGGCAGAAATTGAAAAGGGCAAAATAATAGAGTGCTGGAGCAACTTCCTGGGGAACGGCTGCATTTGGGGCTTCTTGATTTAGAAATAAAGTAGGGAGCACAGTTACCGGTAGTAAGCTTTTTGCAGTGCGGAATGTTGCAGGCTGCCCCTTCCAATTCTCAGGAGCAGAGAGGGTCTCTCTCAGGATTCTGTTTTTCGTAACAGCGTTAACTTGCTCCTTTAATATGGCAGCTTGAGGCATTTCTGCATCTACCAGGCCAGGCCAAAGTGCCTGCCAGGACTGCTTCCTTACTCTGCAGGTAAACACAGCAATTCCTGGGGGGGGGGGTGTCTTTGCTGAAAAATGGCTGGGTGGCTAAGTGTACCCCCCCACACACACATTAGCAGCAACACGGTTCTTGGCAGGTGGGCTAGGCCCCTTCTCCACCCAATTTTCAGCCTGTTTCCCCCCTTCCTTGTAGAAACCAATGGATAGGATTCTTCTTGGACTTAAAATGGAGGGAGAGCAGCCTATTTAAAATTCACTGGGGCAGGGACAAAGTCAGCCACACACTAAGCAAATTGCTCCATTCATTTGCACTGAGGTGGGTGGAGAAGGCCCCAGAGAGAGGAAAAGAGGGAGGAAGAGAGACTACAGACCCAATGGGAAAAGTCAAGGTGGACAAATACAGGAAAGGAGGTGCTCCTCACTTTTTGGGCACTGTCCCCGTCCCCTACCGCAGCCCATCTGTGGTAGCGCCCAGGATAATTTCTCAAACTACAATGCCCCACAGGGTTCCAAATGATTAGGGATTTCCATTTCACAACACTTAAAACAGACAAAGGAAAATAAAAGCAAGCCGCCCTTAAAAAATCCACTATAGGGCAACAGTGGGTGGTATGAGAATTTAGTGCCAAGGTTCTATTTGTATTTAAGTAACACAGAAAAACTGTGCACAGAATCAGTATCCTCAAAGTATCAGTGCCCACATTAAAATCCAGTATTGTACCGTGAAACAGTGACTACTCGGTTTGAAAATGCAAACTCTCAAGCTCCTCATCGAGCAGGATCCTGAGAAGAACATAGGACAGAAGCAGGAAGTGTTTCTCATGACTTTGTCCTTGAAACAGAAACACTATATAAAATATATAGGTAGATATACTCCTCATAATTTATGCAAATTAAATAAGTAAACATCGTTGACAAAGTGAACGACCTCAACACTGATTTCTTTCCTCATTAAAAGTATGCTCAGTGCTAGGTTTGCCATCACGTCTGTAGAAGTGAAATTCAAGAAATCCGTGTTCCTTTACTAGTGAGAAGGGAGTGCCCGAGATGACACTTCTAGCATGCACACCAAGTGTTTTGGCTCTGAATGCAGTTGCTTTCATTTCATTTTCTTAATTCATTAAAGAGCATTTCAGAGATTGTCTAGGGTTTCGTGGGATTGTTTTAAAAAGTTTTCTTCCTGAGGTTATTTTTCTCCAAACCTAAGTAACTGTGGTCATTAAAACTAGCAGGAGGCAGTAGGGGAGGAGAAGGGCAGGCTGGAGATCCACCATAGTTCTCACATCACAAACGAGGCAAATCCCAACAATAATAGAAGCATTAAAACTGCGGAGCTCCTGGCCAAACAATAAGGAAATATTGGTGTGCAGGGTTCTTTGCTACTGGCTATGGGGCTGGGGGAAAGGCACAAAGAAATACCTTAACTCCAAAAAAGTTTTGGAATCTGCTGCAAAGCAAAGAGAAATTCTTTCAGTCTGGGGAAAGCTGTGACAGTTGATAGTCCAGAAAAGAAGCACTTGGATCGAGGAGAAACATAACTAGATCAAACCATAGTTGGAAGGGGTCTAAGGTGACCATCGGGTCCAACCCTCTGCTCAAGGCAGGATTCGTCTCCCATATAAGTATTAGCCAGGCCTGACCTCGCTTAGCTTCTGAGATGAGGCAGGACCAGGCACTTCAGGCTATATGGAAGCTCAACCTACCTTAGACCATATCAGACCACTGGTCTATCTAGCACTGCGGGCTACTGAGGGCTAGAATGAGGAGAGAACTCCCACCGACCTTCCTGGCAGTCTGGGCTGGATTAGATGCAATGCCAAATGATGTTTTAGTGCTAAATGAACAAGGCTTTTAATCATTTTCTTCTTTGCTTCAATTCTCTCTCTGGCTTCTGATTTAGCAGTAAACCACAGGGCAGAATCTAACAGGCCACTTGTGTCTTGGCTGCGTCTTTCCCACCTGGGCAATTATTTTCTGCAAGAATGGGTCCTTGTCAAGGGAGATTTAGTGTTTCCCTCAAGGAAGCCCCAACGAATAGAAATATAATGATGCAGAAATACTCTGATGACCTGCCTTTCCTTCAGAAAATAGCACGTTCAGGTTCCCTGGAAGCAGGGCGGAAGGGGAGGAAGCAATTCCCACTGGGTTCTGCCTACAAATTTGCCGAACCCAGATGTGATGGCAAATAAGGGATTTGGAGCTTTTGAGCACAGGTTTCATTCATGTAGTGACAATATGAGCCTTAATCACTTGAGAAAAGCAAAGCTTCAGAGAAGTACTGCCTCATCAATAAAATACAAGAGGATTTGGTGGCAACAGTGAAGGAAAAAAACACTGGATCTTAAAAAAGAAAAATCAGATAATATCTTTAAGGAATTTTATACTACAACAAAAATAAAAAGAAATTGTGTCCAACACAAACAGGAGAAGGAACCCATTCAGACGTATTTCCAGTTTACTAGGGATGATGTTGTCGCTCGCTGCACTCCCAACACAGCTGAAAAATCAAGATGCCAAGATGTGACACATCCATGTTTGATGTCTAGGAAAAAAGCGTGATCAGACTTGTTCCGCGAGGTCCAAGACTCTGAATTTGTCCAGGTTGTAGAAACATGCCTTCACCACCCGTCCTCCGAAGTATCTTCCATTCAGATCGACAACCGCTGGAACATGGAACATAACAGAAGCATCAGACAGAGAAGGGTTCACCAGGAAAAGAAACATGCCACTTATACAGGACTGCTTTTTTGTTTGTTATGATTTGGCATGGGAACAGGGAGTCAGTGGGTCAGCTCTGATCGATCAGACCAGTTCATAGCCGGGTAATATGATACAGGGACAAGGGATTCCCTCCATAAGAACAATGCTTCAAGAATACGGGACTTCCTAAGTCCACGGCCAGCACAGGCCATGCCTGGCCAACAAAGACGGAGGACACGAAGCAAAGGAAAGTTGCTTGGAGGGATTCATCAACTCAAAATGCCCACTTAAACCCTCACATACTTCACTGTTGACTAAGAAAAGCGGGGCGGGCAGCTCACATCTACTGAGAAAACATATAAAACTTTTATCTACAGTAATAGCCGAGTTTTGGACCAACTGCAAGCTAAAAGACATAATACAAAAACTTTTTATATACAAAACAGATTTTAAAAATCTATCTTGACATTATCAGAAGCATTACTGAGTATATTACCTTTAATTGCAGATTCCACCCTTTCGAACTCTAAAAATATTCTCACAGCTTCATCATCAGGAGCACCCGGAATCTAAAATGCACAATTACAACAAGGAGGCTCTCAGAGAGGGCCCAGCAATATCACACAGCTGCTTCTCCCACTCTTTCCAAAACTGCGCCTTTCTAGCACTGAGGAATCGCATGCAAATCAAGAACAGCCCCCCCCCGCCCGCCCCCGGGACCCATCAAACCTGAGCCAGGAAAAGATTAAGTGTCAAAGTGAAATACAGTGGAGGTGGTTAGTGAAACTGGGGGAACATTCCAAGAATAGAAAATAAGAACAATTTGTGATTAGGAATTAATTAGTGTGGCAGCTGAAGGAAACCAGGATACCCTCCCTCTTTTTTTAAAGGAACATAAGAGTAGTGTTCAAACACTTCCAAGAGCTTGTTGTGAAAAGGAAACACTTAAACTACACACACACACACGCACACACATGGACCACTGAGTAAAGGGCATGAAACAACTAGGTCACGCGGTCACGTATTTAGGCCTGCTAACAGCCGCTGAACAAGGAGCTAGTGCTGTGGTCAGGGCTGACCCAGCAGCAGGAAGACCCAGACTTGAATTCACACTCCGCTAAGAAGCCCGCTGTGTGAGCCCGGCCCAGTCGTGCTCTCTGGTCAGCTGGACCCCGCTCGTGTGCTGCCCGTGAAGATAAAAATGCGCAGAATACCCAATCGTGCGGAGCTCACTGGGAGAAAGGCTGCGCATACAAGGAGGGCATGCATTCACGTGGTCACTCGGATGACTCGATGGCACACAGAAACAAAAGCAGTGCATCATTTGTGGGGAAAAGGGAGAACCTTTGGCCGAAACTGTCCAAGCAGAGACAGGCCAAACAGAGGCTGCCAGATTATTTCGGTGTGAGTCACCTCTGGCATTCCAGGACACAGACAGAACAAACACCTCAGAGGATTCCTTTCAGCTCAGGACTCCAGCTGACTCTGACCCACTGACATTAGACGTTGCAACTGTACGAACTACTATCAAATCACTGGGCAGACGCTTGGCTGGTGTGTGCCAAGGAATGGAAAGCAGAGCCCCGACTATGTTAAGCTCAAGGAATGCACACGGCCTGTTAGGTGATCAGCTTAGTGAAGCTGAAACTACAGAAAACACCCTGCCGAAAAAGGATCAGCCTGAACGCAAACTTGAGGGCAAGCAGGGCAGGACTATGTCAGACCTCAAAGCAGAGCTTTCAATTTGGAATTATGATGCACCCAAGAGTTGTCTTCATGCAAACTCTCAATTTTATATATTCAGAAATTTAGTTAATGTAGTGCCTGTTGTTAAACTCAGAAAGGGAGAGTTGTATATTGGAGTTTTACAAGGAAATGCCAAGTCTTTTTAAATCAAACCAGTTCCACATACACATGGAAAAGAAAATAATCCTTCCACCAGAGTTTAAGGTTGGAGGGGGAATTGTTTTGGGCTCCTCCCAATAAAGCAATGTGGCATTCTAGCTCTGTTTCTAGAGATTATCCTATTCCATCATGTTGGTTTATAAACCAGCATCAGAAATCTCTCTTAAAAATAACTCATTGTCCAAACAGAACAGGAGCAGGCTTGTGGTAGAGAATGATGTAAGCCAATACCTCAAAGATGACACACTTCCCAACTTTGCCATATTTTTCACATTCCTCCTTAGTTTCGCCTTCAAGATCTTCATCAACCTCCCCAGCTCCAACCATATTCTGCAAAACACAGAAGCAAATTCAACAGGCAGACCCTAAGCTATTTTCTGAGTGATTTACAGAATATTAAAACTTTAAAAATACAATATAAAACCTGTTTGCATACAAAACAATTTAAAGCACACAAGAAAAATCACCGGGTCAGGTAAACCCCGTAAGGCAATACTGCCAAATGCCCGTGAGGAGAGAAAGGCTTCACCAGATGCTGAAAGGGTGACAGTGTTGGCAGTGAGCGGACCTCCATGGGCAGTGCTCCAGTTATGGTGCCACCACTGAGAAGGCCCTCTTGGGACTTAACGCCATCAATCCAAGAAACACACAAACCAAAATATACCGCACTTACCCGTAGCAGAACCACTTTGGTAGGGCATTTTAATATCTCTGTTAAAGGGTTTGAATCGGACTTCTTGGATGCATCTGCTGTTCAGAAAAAGGAACCACAATAAGGCTGTCACATTAGATGCTAATAATTACTTAATTTAGTAGTCTCATGCTAGATTACTCTGCTCCTTAGAAGGGCTGTGGGTGTTCTACAATTCCAAAGAGGCAAAGGACTGGTCACCGTCCATATAGTTTCGGTACGCTGAAAAACTCAATCCTCACTAGAAGGGGAAAATACATCAAACCACTATGAATGCAAGGACAATCTTCATATATGTAAGCGACAATGGGTGATTTCTCAAGACCTTGGGAAAGCTGAGTGAGCTCACGTATTAGAAGCAGGCAAGGGTGCACCAGGAGGCAGGGTTAGTGGGAAACGCACCCATACATTTTTCACACAACCCAGGCTTGCTTAATCTTCCGTCCACAGAGATGGTGATCAGGACTTCGGAGTAGGGCGACCCCAGGAGGGTGAGATAAAGCCTTTCTCCCCAAGAAGTTCAAGCTTCCCTGATCCTTATGCCCCAAATCAAGATTGTTCTCCATTTGCTGGTGCTATTAGCCATGAAGAACTGTCTTTACTGGAATTGTGGAAGAAGGCAATCCCAGGACCCTCGCCAAGACAACTGGAGGACAGGGCGAGACGAGCATCTTTATCAGGACTGCTGTTTCCTTGGTAGGAATAGCAGTGGAGAAGCAATGAACTGTTCCCTCAGTGCTCAGCTGTTGATTCATCAACCAGAAAACAAGGGAAAATGTACAGGGCTCCATGGAACTGGTGGGCCAACCCATGTGGCTGAACTGCTCCACAAAATTCCTGTCCCACATGCTAAAAAAGAGAGAAAATGCTCTATTAAAAATGGAAAAATGAAGGATATATAAAAATGTACTAACCCCATCCTGCAGTTCTTTTTAAAAAAGAAAGCTTCCAGAATGGCTTGCAAGAATTTAAGCGCTGCTACTTAAAGCAAATGTTACACACTACATGCATGTTTAACAGTACATGCAACCCTGGTTATATTTCACTGTAACTGCTAAGGAAACCCAAAATCTGTTCACACCTTTCCCCAGACGCTTAAGCTTCTTAGCTTCTTCATCACTGAGGGTGTAATGCTACTACATAAAATTCAACAGAAATTGAATGGAACTAAATCTTCCTACCCATCTATCTCCTGCTGACTTTTATGCCTTTCTGACACAAGGAACCGTCTGCAGATGTGCTCCTTAGGCTTAAGAACTTAATAAAGCCAGTGTTGTATAGCGCTTAGAGTACAGGACCAACACGCAGGGTCTATTATCCACTAAGCTGTGACACTCACTCTGGGCCAGTTTCAGACACTCAGCCTGACTTACCCACAGGGTTGTTGTGAGGATAAGATGAACCGGAGGAGGGCTTTCTCTGCGGTGGCGCCCCATCTATGGAATGCGCTCCCCAGAGAGGGCCGCCTGGCGCTGTTATTTGTTTTTCGGCACCAGGCCAAGACCTTTTTATTCAAAACTTATTTTAATTGTTAAATTATTTGTATTTATAGGACTTTAAATTTTTAGCCAAGATGCACTGGGGGTTTTTAAATAATTTTTTTATTGTTATATTGTTATTATTTATGTATTTTGTTTCTGTTGTGAGCGCCCCGAGGCTTCGTTGCGATGGGGGCGGCATAAAAATGTTTTAAATAAATAAAAATAAATAAATAAAGCTGCCTTGGGTTCCTTGCAGGAAAAAACTGGGATATAAATATAGTAATTTCAGAAGCCAAAGGTCCTGTTTTGACTATTCTATTTAATGAAACAGTTTAGCTGTGCTGAATGGCAAGTTTTCTCACCCACCATCATAGAGCTGGCTGGGCACGAGGGGAACTGTAATCTAACACACCCGAAGGAGGCCACTGCATAAGCTGTGCGGGTGTGGAAGCAGCAGAGTAGAAGCCGCCTGTGAGCACTTCAACGCCTCCCAAGGGCAAACCAGTCTGGAATCTCCAAAGCAGGCAGCTCCTCCTACTGGCAACAAGGGCAAGCCAAAAGGCAGCCTGGAGTGCTAGGCATTTGCTTCTGGAAGGCTGAAGGCCCTTTACTGCAAGCAGAGAAATGGGGTGGAGACGGGGGAGACGGCAGATGTGCCACAGGATCGTTTCAGAAATGCCTGAAAGAGGTGAGCCAGGGGGCTTTCCGGATTAGAGCATCAGAAACCAGCCTTAGCCACGACCTCACCAGCTCTGCCTCCTCATGCCCCCTCCTCCTCCTCCTCACCTTTATCAGCCGCATCGCCAACGATGATTTTGCCGCCCCTCTTGCTTGTTTTCTCCACCGACAGGGCAGTGCTCAAGCCCTGCTCGTGCTTCCCGAGCCCCTGGCCCTCTCGGAAGCCATACTTCTGCATGATCTTGTGTGCCACCGTGCCCCTGGAGAGAGAAGGCAGAGCACGCTCTGAGCAGGCTGGGGAGGTGGCACGCCATGGAAGCACTTGGCTGGCGGTTGGCAGGCCACCACCCTGGTCTTTCTGCAAACCAGGGTATAAGATGCAGCTGCCCTTCTAAAATACCAAAGTGACCTACAGCTGTTTGCTAGATGTGGAGGAGCATGGTAACGATGACGTAATGGTTCTTACTTTGTGCTACTCAAAATACTTTTAAAAATTATTTTGCACAATTGTCACAAGGAAGGATAAGGAAGTACCTAAGATACTGAAACAATACCTGTAGCTAGCTATGCCTTGGGGATCTTGGACCACCGTCCCCTTGTTTTCAAGCCCATCCTGGCACCCAAAGGGGCTGAGAACTTGTTTGGGGTTCCCCCCAAAGGTAAAACTGCGTTTGAAACCAGAGGTAGGGCAATGAATTGCATCCGTTCCAACTGCAGTTAGGGGGATCCGGTTTCCAAACGCTCCCCTGCTGCACAAAAAATGCTCAGCAGAGACAGAAAGGTGCAAATCGCTGTGCTATTTTCCTAGCTATAGAAAGACATTCTGCTGAACTGGGACGGGAGGAGGGATTCCAAAATATGAACCACCACCTGTAATCTGAAATGGTGGAGTCTATCCCACCACTTTAGGATTCTGTCTCTCAATTATGATGCATCGTAGTTTTAGGTTCTCACCCTCTAATACTGAAATGGGTTGAGGATCATTAACGGCCTTACAGGAAAAATGGGCTACCAAGGGAGGACTCAAGGTAACGGGGAGGGGCTCTTGAGGTACGCACAACTACACAACTTCACTAAGCCTGCACAAAAGAGGGTGAAAAGCGCAGAAGGAAAGAGATGGGTGCACATGTGGTCTCACACATGGAAAAGGGGAAGGGAAGTAATGTGTCCAGAACAATGCTCAAAGGAAAGGACAGCGCGAGGGAGAGAACCAATGCACAGTGGGGACACGTTTTGGGTTGCGGCTCTCCTTGTACTTTCAGGGAACTGCAGAATCCTGGCTAGCAGTGTCCATCTCTGGGCGCTGAAAGAAGCTAGTGATCTCCATGCGCATATCTCAATTGAATTCAATCTCTTATTTATTCATTCATCTTTTATATACCAAAAGATGGTATACCAAAATGGCTGCACCTTGCACAGAACCAAAATGGCTGTCTGAATGGTTTACAATAAAATTTATTAAATCATCAAGGGAGGATGAGCAACAACCCTTTTGGTATTTCCTTAAGAGATCGGTAAGGATAGATTCTACTGGCCCAGTTCATACATAAATGACTGTGTGTGTGTACACCCTGCCAGACTGCTCCTGCAGTGGACAATCACCCAGCGCCTTGCACAGAATGGAAAGGATCTGTGCAACCAGCCAGGGCTTCCCCCTGCTTACATGGTCACCACAGAACCACCTGCTCATGACTGACGATTCCACCAGAAAACTTGTGACAAAACGGGCAGGACAGGCTAAACTACTATAAAACTGAAGTTGTATATTTCTGAACTGAGTTATTAACTGCTACAGGCCCCTTTTACGTATTTTGGCTGCAGAATAATGGCTCTGAACCAAAAAGAGATCTCCTGAAATACCGTGTGCAACAGCGCTTCAGGGACCAAACCATTTCATTCTGCAGGTGAATGCTTCTATAATTAAATGCTTCTCCATACAAAAGACATTTCAAGTATACTTAAGGGTTGCAGGGTAGGGTGAGACCAAGCCAGGACCATTGCCCCCCCTCCGCTGATATACTAGCAATTCATATGAAGCCTTTAAATAAGAGAGAGAGCATGCAATTTTTTTTCCACTTAGGAGTCACAAAATTAAACCGAGATTTGCCAGATTGCTCTCCAACCTTACAGTTCCCAAATTTTTCCCCCTCCATAGCTTGGCCTGACCCAACATCCTGGGCCCCACAAACTCCACTGCTGCCATTTCAGTTGACCTAATACCTTTGCTCCAGATAAAATGAAACCAAAGGTGAGGAGGGGACATGCATGGGGCTGGGGTGAGGGAGCTGCCAGGAGGAGCCTGAGAACCTCCGTCTGAATACATTAAAGGACTGGGAGATCTTTGCTTCCAGTTCAAAGCAGTGCCAACAACCCAAACAGGCCGCACATTTATGGGTCAAAACACCTGTCCTTCAAGTGATGCAAGCTAGCCTTGTCCAATCCAGTGCCCCCCAGCAGGGCACGAGGCTGGAAAAGGGCAGGGTAAACCCAGATTTCAGAAATCCTCCTCCAAGTTCCATGGGGCAAAAGCGGCTTGCTTGCAGCACTTCTGTGCTCTCCGCGGCTGCCCTCTAGTGGCGTCTCACGTGAACTGTACTCACCCCATATTGGCAAGGAAGGAGTTGCTGGGCCCGGACGGGGATCGAGGCCTTTCAGGCTCATCATACATGGGGGGAGGGATGGCTGCTTTGGAAGATGAGCCTCGAGGCCTGGACTCTTCTTCGTACGGGAATGATGATACCGCTGAAAGGGGGAAGGGACATTCAGCATTAGGCCAAAAAACCCCTCGGTACAAATTCTCACACTGCACACCAACATCTCATTTTAAGACCCGTCTTCACTGCCACAGCAACCAAAAGCAATCCCTTTATTTAACTAAACCATAAGCCCCTTTCTCCTCCTGTATGTATGTATGTCTGCTGGTAACAATGTATGACTGGCACTGCGTTTCTTCACTCAACCAACTAACTTCAGACGCAACCCCCAGAGTGTCAGCTCCACAAGACTCACACCTCTGCTAGTTGCGCAACTATACACAGGATCCAGTGCAAGACCCACTGGAAGTGAATGGGGGCAGTAAGAAACCCGCTATAAAATCGCCACACCACACCGATGCCAGGCAGGCTGCCTCGTGTGCAGGAACCCTTCAAGCTAAATATGCGGTTACAAAACCCACGGCACAGACTATCTCACACCAGACCCATGTTTACAAACCTCCCCTAAGTACATGTTAACTGACAGACTGGGGCAGCATCTTTAAACATTTCTAAATTCATATCACAACATCTTTCAGAAATGTTTTTTTTTTTTTTGGTTCTACCTCCACTGTGCAGTTCACTTCCAGGCCGAGCTACTGGGTCCCAGAGACATCTGGAATGTAAAAACCCTTTCCCTACTTTCCAGGAATTACAGCAAAGTTGCAACTCTTCCTATGGGGAATTTGAGGCTTCGCCAATTAATAGGTCTATGATTGGGGATTCAAGAAACCTGAGGCCAAAACATCTGGAGAGCAGGTGAAGGAGACTGCAATTAGTGGCTCCAGGACAGTCCTCTGCACAGCCACAGTCTTTCGAAAAGGGCCTCGGAGGGCAGAACTTTAGAAGCCACATTTTTAGCTGAAGTAAAAATAGGGAAATTTACGTACGCTCTTTGTCCTTCTCAACCAAAGAAGTTGGTGGTGCAATGGCAGCTCCTCCCATACCTGTTTAGGAGAAAGTCACTTGAGATACAATCCAAACACTGAGGCCACAATAAATTTGTCCACTTCAAGATGCAGCAAGACTGATGGTTGATTTTGCCGCAAGACACAACGCTGCGATCCCTCTGAAGGTTCAGAAGGCTAGGGGCCTGGGCGGCTGGGAGAATGCCTATGTCACAGCACCAATGCCAGCAAAGGCCATCAGAACTGGAAAGCACTGCCAGGGGACAGCCTGGCCTGAGCCACGGCCAGCCCTGACTGCTGCAGCAGGACCAAGGCCATGAAAACCTCGCCTCATCAAAACTCCCTTCTCCAAAGTATGCACGAGAAACTTTATTTATTCGTGGTCCACCTTTCCCCCAAAACTGGCACTCAAGGCAGCTCACCAAAATTAAAACACAATACACTGCAATACAAAAAGGCACACTTAGAGAAGGCAGGATGAAAGAGCAGCTGGCTTAACAGTCATGCCCATGAAGCTCCTGGAAGGGCTTCTTCAGTCCTGTTGGTTCCACAGCACAGGCTGAGTAATTACGTTGTGCCTTAAGAAAGACCCCCTTACTTGCTGCGCCCACCAGCAGCAGCCCCAGGAGCCAAGCTGCCTTGCCACATGGAAGCAAGAGCACCAGGGAGAGGGGCGAGGCATGGCAGGTTTAGTACCTATCAACGCAGAACGCTCAGGCTCGTGCATGGGCTTCCCCAGCAGGGACCCACCGGCACCGGCACCGGCACCAGCCAAGGGCACGCGAGAGGCATGGGGAGGGGAGGAGCGGCCACCAGCCTTCCTTGCACTTGCAAGCACACCTGGCCAGCAGCAGCAGCGGCCTTGCACAGACCGCCGCCAGCCTGTGATTCCGTTCCCGAGCCACCCCACTCTGCACACAGAGAAGAGACTCGCAGCTGCAGGACATGCTGCCGGGGGAAGCGCACGGGGTGGGCGCACACAGCGCTGCCAATGCTGGCATGCCAGACCTGGAGCCAAGGGGGAAGAGGCCTGCGTCAGCATCCGTGGGAGATGGCCTTACTTCTTTTTCGTCTTTCCCTTTCATAGTCTTCATCTTCGTCAGAATCCGGATCCGGCCGTCTGGAAAATCCACTGGCCTCGTGCCTGTCTTTGCGCCTCCTGGAGAAGTTAAGACAGAGACTGATATGGCAATCCCCTAGAATGCAGCATTGCACAGTAAGGCAGAGGGGAAGGACCTCTGCCTGTTACGCAGGTATTGCTGGACTACAACGACTATTGTTCCTGACCACTTGCCATGGCAGAAAAGGTTGGCAGAAGCAACAGTCTGACACAGCTGGAGGATTACTCATCCTCCAACCCTCAAAGCAGGTGTTATTCGCCTACAAAGAACTGCAGCACATAAAAGGCTTACCTGTGAATTCTGTAGATGCTACGCTTCCCTTCCTCTACAAATGTCTACGGTGTGCATGCAAGAACCACAGGACATGGCTTTTCTATCTAACATATTGGTGTGAGTTATTTTGGCTTTTAAAAAGTACAATAAATGTTAAAAATTTGTCACTGTTGGGTGCATCTTTCAATTGGAGCCCCTTTAATACCAGGCAGGTCCTCACTAAGCCCAGGCATCCTGCACACAGAAATCCTTCCAACAGTCTCATATGTATTATGTTACTGTACACTAATCCCAATTTACAAAGCAAATTTATGCTAGAAGTTGCAAAATTATATCGCTTCGTATCACTGCCACCCAGTGGTGCAAGTGAATTACAGGTTTAAGAGAATTTTATGCAGTCAAGAATTAGTACAGCCTGCTCATTTCTGAACACTAAAATGCAGTCAAAACGGTTTCACATGTAAGTAGGTCACTGGCTTGTAGCCTTCTCAACTCACTTCTCTCTCTCCTCAATTTCTTTCTGTCTCTCCAACTCACGCTGCCTTTGCCGTTCTTCCCGCTGACGCTTTACTACTTTTTCGTAATCATTGGGGAACATAGGATCATACTCATCAGCCAAAGGAATCAACACATCTCCCGCAGAAAAGCCACTGGGAACAGGATCCTGGGATTGAAAAGAGGTGACACACAAATGCAAGGTACAGCACTTAAAACAAAGCCAATTCCATTTCAACGGCTTGCTCAAACTTCCTCGCCACCTATGACCCACATACTGCTTATAGTTTCTCACAATTTCAAACCTCAATACAATACAAAACTCCATGTTTGATAAGTGAGAAATAATATGCAGAAACATAGAACTTATTTAAAATAATACTATCATTCATCAATGCTTTTTTGTCATAGAACGCACCGGAACAGAGTTCCAACACCTTTTTTCAATAGATTTTCCTAGTTTTAAAAGTAACTTTTGAAAATTTGATGTTTGGTAAATGTGGATTTGAATCGTCCTGTTGAGCATAGCAGGTTGGCGGCAAAATCATTAAAACGGTGCATGCGGGCTGCTTGTGTGTCGTATTCGATGCATGCGTACTTCGTCCACACTGGTTGTGATGACACTGCTTGGCTTGTGACTGGTCGTGTGGTCGTGCGCTGAGTGCTTACTGCAGGCAGCAACTGTTACGTTTCATTACACAACTGACATGTGTGGGTGTGTGTACAGTGACTGACTACGTGTGAAAGGTAAATAATTTCATGAGTTCCGGCACCTTTTTTCTTACAAAAAAAGCACTGCCAATTTATTACATTTCTATACTGCCCGCAGGAGAAACTCCCCAAAGCGCAATATAAAGCAGCGTCAGAAAAATCCTGTCAGAAGAAGAATGCCTCCCCCAAATGGGAAAAGAGCAGCCACACTTCACGGGGCAAGATGTTCCACTCTACTACTAGAGCCACTGAAAGGCCCTCTCGCCTGACCTTAGTGAGGGAGAAGGGAATCCCTAGCTCATTCCTGCTTAGAATGCCTCTGATCTAGTTTATCAACCCACATTCTCACATCCCCACTACCCTCCAACTAAAGCAGGCTTACCTTCAGGCCAGCTGCCACGTGAGGTGGAGTATCAACAATCTGCCGCTCATCAGGAGCACTACCTCGCTTCAGGTCAATCACAGGAGCAAGAACCGTGCTTTGCTTCGTCCGCTGACTCTACAAATACCAAAAACAAACATATTACTGGCAGCAATTGCACTCACACTGAGAAATTTGGTTCTTCATCTATTTTCTTTAACTCCTCAATCACTAGACAAGGTTTGAACACTCTGTCGTGCAAAGAGATTTCCTATAACTTTTTGTACCAAAGACCAAGTCTGTATTTTACCAGATCTAATAATATACACATTGCAGTGTTCCTGATACAATTTATAGAAAAAGCAATTTTCTTACACACTGATCCAGAAAAGGAATGGGAAAATATAATTTTAAGAAGCCATCCACTACAAAAGGGTATTTTGATGCAACGCAAGCATTTTAGAATATATTTTCATAAAGGTATCTCGATTTCCATGGTCCTACTCAGAATACAACTATATGTCATGTCTGCTTTGCATGCCAAGATGCTACTTGTGCACTTGAACAAACCACATTTTTCATTTGCCTATCCTGAAAAACTTTATTCATCTATAATGTAGGGGAAATTACCTGCACTGAGGAAGAGAATCTATTCGGAGCCTCTACAGCTTAAAATACTACATCAACGGGTAAGATGTAGGCTTACACATAACGTTTTCTCAACCTAAATGCTTAAGTTAATGTTTCCAGGTGATTGTTTATGAGGGTCCAAGTCAGCAGCTGCATAATAAGCGCTTCAGAAGAAGCGCAACAGGACAAACGGCGCGGGGCAACTACACGCATCGAAACGAAAGCAAGCGGAAGGCTCCTCCACGTGAACTCCAGCAACACCTCGGAGCGCGAGGGCTCGTTCCGCGCGGGGAAGGCGCCACGCGCTGCGCCCCCCAGGGGAGGCCGGGGCGAGCCCGGCACGGCCGCGGCCCGAGACGGAGCGCTTGCTTTCTCTGGCACCGTCCGGGCGCCGGCGTGGACCGACCGCAGGCCGGGGCTGGCGCGACCGCAAGGGCACCACCCCGAGGGCAATCCCGTGCCCTCCAGGCGAAAACCCCGCGGCCTGCCCCTCCTCGGGGCCTCCCCAGGCCCGCTCGGCAGACGCCGCCCAGCGGGGCAGCCCCCGGGGCGAGGCCGGCCCGCGCCGCGGCCCTCCCGCCGACGGCCGGGGCCTTCCGCTCCGAGCGCTCGGCCGCCCTACCTTGGCCTGGGTGAGCGCCGCCTTCTTGACCTGCAGCTGCGACTGCAGCAGCTTGAAGTTCTTGGACCAGCCCTCGGTCTTGGAGTCGCTGGTCTCCACGCCCAGGTCGTCGTAGAGCGACATGCTCCCGCGCGCGCCCAGCGGCGCTTCCTACGGCGGCAGGCTCCGCTTCCAGCCAGGCCGCGGCGCCATCCCCCGCAGGGGCCGCTGCTTCCCTGCCGAGCCGCCGAGGGCCGCTTCCAGGCCGGCCGGGCCCTACGGCTTCCCGCCGGCTGAGGCAAGAGGCCGCGGCCTACTCGGATGGCTCGCCGCCACAGCCCTCCCGAGCCCGCCGCCGCGCTCTCGCGAGACTTCCGGACGCTTCCCCCCCCCCGTGGGCTTTGCCAAACTTCTAGCGATACTTCAGGCGGCGGCGCCCCCAACTCTCGCGGCACCCCAGCGATCGCTCTGCAACTATCGCGACATTTCCGACTGGGGCATTCTGGGAGTTGTAGGACTTTGTTTTTCCCTGCACAGTTATAAGATGGCGAGTTAAAACTTTCCCAGGAGGTTTCTGGGAGTTGTAGTTCAACAGGCTTGGGAGGTTCGCTGTTAAAGAACGATTACTTGGATTTGCTTACAATTTTGTTTACATTACTACAATTTGTTGGAACTTCCCCCGTCTTGACAGGCATAAGCATAAACAGGAGTGAGGAAGCAGCAATAGGGAGAATTGGGACTGCACACCTTTAAAAGGATACTATTTATTTATTTATTTATTTATTTAAACATTTCTATGCCGCCCCATTCGCCGAAGCCTCGGGGCGGCTCACAACATAAAGTTAAAATACAAAAAATAACAATATAAAATAAGTCGCCCTGGCCAAGGTTGGGAAGACTTCTAAATTAATGCATTAATTAATGCATTCGAGATACAAGGAAATCCCTGAGCCCACCTAATGTCCGTTAGCCTCGCAACTTGTATCCCACGGCGCCCATCAAGGCATGAAAGGCAGCAGAGCGGCTCCTCTCTTGCTGCCCTCGTAACCTACTCTGGACAAGGAGGCTCCATTAAGCTAGTGGGGCTAAGACCAAAATGCATCCTGCTCAGTGGCATATAAATCCATTAAATAAATATGCACAGCAATATACAAATCTATTAAATAAACTAACAAATCTCTCTCCTCTATGCCTTTGATCCAACTCCTTTTATAGATGTTTGATAATGAAAACTGGAGCTGTTAAAAAAAAAAACAACTATGCGGTTCTTTTGCTGTTTGTCAGTCACAGTATTTAATGATCACTGCTTTGTTGCCTTTGTGCAAAATGGTATAAATTGGAATAATGCATACTAAAAACAATGTGTGTGTGTATTTGCAGACATGCTTCCATTTGTTTTGTCGAACAACAAGAATCTGATGCGGTAAAAAAGCTCAAACTATCCACGCCATGGCAAGAAATTCAGGTGAAGCGGGGAAAGCAGCCCATGGTTACTAACATCGCACTAATACTGAGACGGACTCCCTCACTGTGGCATTTACACCCCGCAGCAGCCACTCACCTGCCAGCACAGGCAGTTTACTCAGAAAAAAATCCAAGGAGTCCATCTCTGCTTGTAGGCAGAGGCCGACTTGGATACCGTCAGGGGAAACGTTAAAATACAGATCGCGCATCTTGCAGAAGGCAATAATCAAACGATCAAGCTAGAATTCTCAATCTCCACCTGAAGGAAACAGCGCCTCATAAAGAGAAGTTGATTCCAGCTTGAGTCTCCCCTACAAACTCAAATTATCAAAACCCTACCTATCAAGGAGGTTTCCGCGGAAGGACTGGTCCTTGCTCTTGTCTCCATTGATGAGTATATTAGGTCCCACAATGTGATGCAGCTCCCCCTGGTGGCCTCGCAGAGGAGGCAGTCTGACTTAACTTGCAAGTACTTGCAGGTTTTGAACTGGACTTGTGGATATTTGCAGCTTTACTTATTTATTTATTACACTTGTGTGCCGCTCCCCCTACCCGTAAGACTCTCTGGAAGGCTTATATTGTACAGCCTATTAAAACAATTCAATTTAAACAATAATGTAATAAAGTGATAAAATGTGAAACCCTAAAAAAGATGACAATAAAAGTAAACATCCAATTAATAATAAAACCATTTCGAACAATCACTCTAAATAAGATTGTCTGGCAGCTAAAACTCTTAGCACAGCAGCAGCAACAATAAAACCAGCATAATAGAGCATTAAAGATCTAACTGACTCACGAAAATAGTTGTGGAATAAAAACACTTTCAACTGGCATCTAAAAAGTGAGGATGCCTGGCAGATCTCTTTGGGAAGTAAATTCCACAGGTGCGGTGCCACTACAGAGAAGGCCCTTCTCCTGGACATCTGCCTGTTGTGGTGAGGGACTAGGGGAAGGTTGGCAAGCAGTAACACAGAACTTTTCTTTACAGTGGAGCTTAAAACCATCAGCGCTCTCCTTGGGAAACTTTCTCGCCTTATTGCAACTGGGATTTAAAGAGAGCCCCAAAGGCATCTATTCAAATCTGAATCCAGTGCTTAAAAACCATAAGCAGCTCTGGTTGTGTGTGCATGTTTAATTGTACACTTCATGTGCTCTGAAAGGCAGGTTCGTGTCTTGTATATGAATAACGAAGAGGCAGACAGCCATAAGTGTAATAGCAGAAACTCCTATTTCAGAAGAACAGGTGCTTGGAAAAAGTGTATTAAAACGAAGCAGGCTAAATAAAAGAACTGCCAACGACTTAGCTAGTGAGGGCAAATGATCTGGTTTTAACAGCCGCAAGGTCTGGGGTCTACCAGCTGAGCTCTTAAGAGCAACCATACCAGCCTGCTCCACATTTTGTAAAGCACACAAACTCCAGCATAATCGTGGAATTCCACTGATCATCAGATACAAGAACGTGACTCAGAAGCTGTGTCAATTGTGAAAGAATTCAGAGTTAACACGATGCTATCCCGCAATTTCTATGACTCAGCATCTAATTTTGACTGGGAGCAAGTCCCCAGAAATGGACTTCTATTCAGCCCACATATTTCTGAAGCTTGGCAGCAAACTGCGCCCTGGGCAAATTGTTTAAATTGTTTAAGGGACGACCTGGTAAACCTTGCTACCCTTTAGATGTGGCTGCCCCATTTTCTTAATTTTTACTGACAAAGTGCTCTACACACAGAGAATTTGGGACTCTCTCTAACTATGCAGTGTTTGCATCGTCCATCCAGTTCATTCAAACTTTTTGCTTTGGAATATATTCATTAGATTCCCAATAAATGCATTTCTTTAATGAGGCATTGGTGAAAAAGGAAGTCATACAGAGCCAGTGTGGGACGGTAAGGAGGGTGCTGGACTGTGGACCTGGGTTCTAATTCAAGCTCCCTGGGTGACTTTGGGCCAGTCACAAACTCTCAGCCCGACCTGCCTTGCAGGGTTGTTGTTCGTTAAATAAAATGGAGCCGTGTACACTGTCTTGGGATCCTTGCAAGAGGAAAAGAGGCAAGATATAAATGCAGTGTAAAAATAAAGTGAAGCGTCTTCCAGAGGGTTAGAACGACAGGTTAGACCTGTTCACTTTTTGTAAATTCATGTTTTGTAAATGAATTCCCAATGTTTATCGCATCTGTGATATCACAGAGTATTAAATAAATCAAGTGGAATGTTTAACCTTTTTCATGATTTGCATGACTAGTTGAGATTTTTATCGGGGGGAGGGGAGTAAGACAGTCTATCTCCCTAATTAAAATGCCAACTATTGGCAGCAGATCATAATGTTTTTAAGGTAAAGTTATTAGGTAGAATTCTCTCTTACAAAAACCGCCTGCTTCCTTCAACACGCTTGGTTTCTCAAGAACAAGATGTGGAGATGTATAATGGAAAACCTGGGTGCGCCAGCATGAAAAAAACCCAGTCACAAACTTTAAACTTCTAAGTTGCTATTTAGCCACTTTTGGGTTCATCTGATTTGTTTTCTTTCTCCTGAGCTGGGATGGTTTTTGGAAAATAGTTTAATGGGAGCACTTCTGCATTTTCAAGCTCTTGGGGAACCCTTAATGATAAAAGAAAGGTTTGTTACACGTGCTTTGGGTTTCTGAGACAAGGGCAATTTTATTGCCGTCCTGTTTTGTTTTAGAGCTTGGTTAATTAAAAAGGCAAGATGTCTGGCTGCTTTTTCCAATAGGTAAAAGAAAATTCACCCTGGAGCTTTCTAGTCTTTCATTCTGGAGCCAAAATCAGCCCCTGGAGTTTGGTTGGCAGCCGATCATTGTGCAGAGATCGTTCATAATCTTTGGCTGCAGTCCAAAACATCGGGAGGGCACAGGGGACGGCCTCGTTTGCATGTCATGCTAAGCTCCCATGGGTTGGTTAATCTACCCATGGGGCTTAGTGGAACACACTGACCACCATTTCAAGTTGTCAAGTGGAGTCACAGTCAAAGCTTGCCGTGTCGTGTGAACCTGATGGCACGAGGTAGACAACTTGGCACTGTAGGTTGTTTGAAAGCGGTAGCCAATTCATCACAATTTGGATAACGAATAGCTTGTGTTAGGGTCATTTGAGGGCTCTCAGGTCATGGCACACGGCGAGCAGGTGCACACGGGCCTGGCACACACAACTGTACAGCAAATCATGACACACGAGGCCCTTTTTCCCAGCAAGCAAGCTGGGTCAATGCACAAGGCCGCCCGCCCCAACTCCCATCAGCCCCAGTACCAGCCGGTACTGATCCCAGGAATCAGCAGCTGATGCATTAAAAAAAACCTCCTATCCTTCAAAGGCAAAGAGCCATTTCAATGCTACATATATTTTGGTCCTTATCCCTCACCCATCAATAAAATTCTCTGGGTGGCTTATTTCGTCAAAAAATATAGAAGTTACGTCCAGTTCTCTCTTTCCAGTTTGCAGAAGGCTTTTTGATCCATCAGAGGCTTCCTGGAAAAGAAGGCTTGTACGGAAAGGTCTTTTTTGCATGTAGGATGAGAAATCCCCCTTGTGCTGGTGGGAGAGGGGGGAATTCTCCCGAAACAAATACCAGCTTCCGAAAGGGGCTTTTCCTTAGCACTGCAGTAGAGGAAGAAAGGGTTAAGTCCGCCTCCCCTGCCAGCTGTTGCAATTTGCATCTGTGAATTCATTTCCACAAAAGGGCAAGTTAAATGTGAGGATGCATTTAGTCCTAAAACTGGCCCTAAATTTGGCCTTGAGTTCCTCCAATAAGTAAACCAGGCCACTGTTCACAAAGGTTATTTTACAGCCTGGAACTCTGCACAGGTTATGTACAACCTTTTGGTTGTGAAGCTGAAAAGAGGAATTTAATGGGACTTTATATGTTCCTTTTTAGAAAGATGCAAACCTTTGACTCATAGTTCCTAAAGTTTACAAGTTTGTGCAATTCTTCTTCACATACATGTTATTTTAGGAAAATGAGGATGTGTTTTCTTTAGATGCACAAATGCTTTGTCATGAATAGAATAGCATTGGCGAGGTTCCTGGGGAATTCCTCAAGTGTGAGGAAAAGAAAGAAATGCACCTTTTCTTTGCATCACTCCACACAGAGCAGTCGAAACTTACTGCTGACCCCAAAATACTGCCTGCAGCCCCTGAACACAAGCTCCTGGCTCTACTATTTTAGCTTGAATTGGAACACTCTACTCATCTGTTTATCCGACTTTCATTCTAGTGAGTAGGGTTGCCAACATTTTGACTGGACTCTGCTCCTATGCTTAACATCTCGGTGTCTGGGAACCAAATCGCTCCGCAAATATTAGGGTGCAAGAATGAGGGGTATCATGCCATGAAATGCTCTGGCAGTTGCAGTCGACTACGGATCCAGTTCCAGTAAATTTATTTATTTAAAATATTTATACCCCGTCCTATACGCAAAGCGTCTCAGGACAGCTTACAAAAATCAAAATAAACAATCCATAATCAAAAACAACAATTGACAATAATTAAGACTATACATAAAACCAAGAGTGACATATCACCAATAAAAGCAAAGTCAAAACCGAATCAAGATCAAAAACAAAATCAGAATGCGACTGTAGATAGTTAAAACCAGATTTAAAACTCCTAATTCTTAAAATGGTGGGCAAAAATAAAAAGGTTTTCAGCTGGTGAAGAAAGGAATATAAAGTCAGCGCCAGATGAACTTCTCTCATCTTTACCTCCTCCAGGGAGGATTCCCGGAGCAGGGCCTCTCCTGCAGTTCTTAAGGGGTGCAAGGGCTCATAGGGAAGGAGACGTTCCTTCAGTTATCCTGGTCCCAAGTCGTTTAGGGCTTTATAGGTTAACACCAGCACCTTAAAGGATGAAAGTTGGACAGATTTTCTGCTCCATTGGCTATCCTGGTGGTGACCTGTGTTCATAGGGACTTAATAACCCTTTGCCTGCATCAGGATTTCAGACTTGCTTGGATCAAATACCTGGATTCAGTGGAAGTTTACAATCAAGCACTCAACTGTTTATTTACAGCCACAGGAATCCCTAAATTACAACAGCACGGAAGTGTTTTGTGGGGTTCCAATCGCATCCACAGGAGAGGAAGGGGAATGAGACTTTGAATGGGCGATTATGGAAGCAGTGTAGAAGCCACAGAAACACTGAGAAGTCATCAGGGAAATATTGGAAAAACATGATGACGCATCAAGATTTCGAGTGACAAATAAAGAGATTTAAAAAAACAGAAGTTGGAGAATATAACAGGCTTCAATGTTTGCAGCTTTACAATCTGAGGCAGGAAATTGCAGGAAGTCAACAGGGGAGCTACCGTGGCAAGAAGACACACGCAAGTACGATTTGCATATCCCAGGCCTTGTCTCCTTTTCCCACAGAAAGAACCTGAATGGAAAAACCCTCCAGATTGGGGGCAGGAAGGGGGAGAAAGCAGGCAAAGCTTCCTGTATTCTAAAGCATAAAACGTGTAAGTTACCATATTTTTCGCTCTATAAGACGCACTTTTCCCCCCTCAAAAGTAAGGGGAAATGTCTATGCGTCTTATAGAGCGAATGTGTGTGTGCCCGATGCCCGGGACGCTGCCAGCCGCCTGCACCACGTGGCACCACCTGGCCGGCATGCGCTCGATGCGCCCTGCTCCACCCCCCTCCTCCAGCGCAGGTGAGAGCTGTTAATCACAGGTCGGTGTGTAATTTCAAATGGCAACCCGTCTTTTAATGAAGCCCATGGGGAACTGATGGGGAATGTGCCAGTGATTATCAGGAAGCTTTCCATGGATCCCTCCTCTAAAAACTAGGTGCGTCTTATGGTCAGGTGCGTCTTATAGAGCGAAAAATACGGTATATTAGTGGAACTGCAACACCTGCTAAAACTGTGCAAAGCAACCCCTCCAACCCACAGCCCGTGCATGGTAGGTTTTCTGTCTCTGTCCCATTGTCCTCCTCCTTTCATTCTGGAATGTTCCTGACCAGCTTTATTCCGGTGTTTCTCCGTCTGGCGCTTCAGTTGCAGCGCAGGCCCTTGTGCTGTCCTTGTTTTCCCTGCAGGATGCGGGGGGGGGGGGGAGTGTTCCGGCTGCACCAAACAGGGCAACAAGTCAGAGGTACTTTGGCTGCTTTCTTGCCTCCGTCACCCACCCCACAGGACTCCTCTCTCCGACTTGCAAAAGTTTCCTCCCCTCCCCGTTGGGAAGCAAAAATAATAAAGTTTGTGGCCCCCTTCCATGCCTCCCTGATTGTCTTCTTTGGCCTCTTGCTTAGGAAAGAAGGAGATGAAATGCATCTACTTGTTATCCTACTCACGACTAAATTTACCTTTACTCACTACTAAATCCCAATGGAGCTAACTTATGGGAAAGTCTACACAGGAGCGGCTGTACTTGCTTGCTTTTGGCTGGAGGGAAAGGGGGTGATTGCCCCACAGATGGGAGAACGAGGACAAGCAGAGACAACCTTGCTGTATTGCTATGATGCCGGGGGGGGGGGGGCAGGAGAAGCTCCGCACGTTGTCCGTTTCTGCTGCTTCACACCCATGCAAACCAAAAGCAAACACACACAAAAACTCTGAAGGGTCATTGCCCTGCATGATTTTCTTTGCATGTCCTCCTGACAGGTTCTCAAATAATGGCAAATGTGATCGAGCGAGCGACACCCACAAATAGCGCATGGGGAGCGCGCGGTTGATGCAGGGGAGGCAAAGGCTGGAAAAGTTGGAGCGTGGAACATTGGCTGTGGCAGCCCTCGAGGAGATCTGGCTGAAATTAGGTTAGGTGCGCAGCCTGACTCAAGACCTCTGCAGTTCCTGTTCTTGCTTGCTGCTGTCTCATAACAGCTCCATGGAGCAGGGGAGTCAGTTTCTCCCGAGGTGACCCCCTGCCCAAGCCAATTCACTCAGCTCAGCCCATGTTATCTCCGCATGTTTGCGCTCTTTGCATTTCCTGACATCATAGCAATGGTGGGGGAGAAGGTGCCGGGGCTCAGCTAGAAAAAACAAGATGATGGAGATCAGCCGGGGGACATTCCATGGGTCAATGTGAGAGGCTGAGCTTGCATCTCTGAGTCCCTGGGGGCCCTCCTCCTCTTCCACACTGCCAGCTCCTTAGTCATTCACTTCTCACCCTGGCCCAGATAATGGGGAAGAGGAAGTGGAGGAGGAGGAGGAGGAGATGACCTGGCCAGCTGGCCTTCTGAACCTCTGCCTGGCAAGTGCTGGGAAAATTCAGATAAATCCTGGCAGAAAAGGGTTGCTTACACATGCCTTTGTGTTCTAAACTCAAAGCTGCACCCCTTTCTCTGAAAGCACCAGAATTCCAAGCCAGGTTATTGTTTAGCCTTTGCTGTTAGTTTAAGAAGTGGGAACTGATAGCTTGCCTAGAGGCCAAGCTATCTAGGGCTATTGTTTTGCTGATCAGGAAGAGCTGATAAGGCTGGCGGGTTAACAGCATTGCAACCACCCTCGTTTGCATGCCAAGACCCACAATAATCCCTGTACCTCTGTGATCATATGTTACTCTCCTGTAATCAATGCCATTGTATTGAGTCCCTCTGCAGACCTCACCTTCTTCTGCCTGTGCTCCCCTTATTTTGCCATCACCTGATCAGCTGCTATGTCATGTGACTCAGAGTTTATAAAACACACTGTGTACATCCTTAAAGCTTGTAGTGAAGGCTCCTACCTGGTCGCTTGCTGCCGTAAGTGACTGCAGGGGGCCTGGGGATCTGACCAATTAAACGCCGGGATTCAAGGCTTCCCTGGGGGTCCTGGGAAATCATTCTTGCCGTTAGTAAAGAGACTCTGACACAAGCAAGCAGATGGGAGCTAGGATTGGCATGTGAGCCAATTGCTGGAGCTGCTGAGGGCTGCCAGATCCCTGGCCGTGCTTGGCTGGCAGCAGGTGGTGCTGCACAGGACGGCTGTACGGAAAGACGTGTGCCACAGCTGCAGATTGCGAAATGAAGGGCTGGGGTGGAACGGCACCTGCTCCCGAATCATTCAGGTGCATCTTCCACCTGAGCCAGGCATGCTTCGTCGAGCAAGAGCACCTGGGGACAAGGTGGCAAGAAGGTCGACTCACCCACAAGGGGCCTCGGAGGGAGTCTCTGGACTGTGATGGCTTCCGAGAGGCACCGGCCCTGGGAGTCGGGCACCAGCCTGTTCGCGGAGAGTCCACCGCATTCTGGTGGTTCGTCAGGCTGCGGAGTAAACTGGAGGCCATCCTGCCCCTAGGCGATGTCAAGGTTGGGCTGCCCCGGACCCCTGCCCAGCAGTGTCTCGCAGGCAAGAGTCCGTCTTTCGCATTGCCCACCCCACCTTCACCTGTTTCGTCATCTGCGCCTCTCTCTCTCTCTCTCTCTCTCTCTCTCTCTCTCTCTCTCTCTCTCTGCCCAAGATGATGGTAATGCACAGCCAACACGCTTGTTTTGTGCCCACCAAGCCAACGAGGGCTTGCAAGAGCGAAGAAGAGGAGCTGGTGGCAGATGGGGCTGAGGGACTGTAACGTCCATCTATTGGCACCCAAACCGTAAACTCCCAGGCCACAGTGGGCTGCTGAGGCCATGGGCTGCGCTGGGGAGACTTGGATTCAGGATCCTGGGCTAGCAGAGTGAGAGAAGGATTACTGGAATCCTTGTGGAGAAAAGGTCCGACTCCACTAAAAATATTAGGCAATGGGATGACCCATCATCCTGAGACACCTGGAAATTATCTCATCCATTGCTCCAAGCAAACATATCTCTTACCCAGAGAAACAATAGTTAAGCCATCAAGAAGTTATCAAGCAGCCTTCCAGCAATTAACCTAAGCCTGGAAAAGTCGTTTTTCTATAGACTCGTGTTCGGAGAGAAAGAATATACAGATCAGGGCTTGGGAAAGAGACACTTCTCTCTCCCCTGCAAGGCTTCTGGAGATGGGTAATGTCTACCTGCCCCTTTGGGCAGGAAGCTTTTTTCCTCCTTAGAAATATGGAGTATGTTTGGGATGCAACAGGAATATTTCCTGTCTGGACAACATTGGGTTAAAGTGTTGAGCCTGTTCTATATTTTTCTGATGAATCTCTTTCTTTTCCTTTCCAAGCTTTGCTTGCGTCTGTGTGAATGCAACACCTCGGCTTGTTCTCTCTGGCTGCATGCATTAAACCCCAGCAAAAGGTCTTTTGGGGATATTATATTATTATTTTCCCAAATCCCCTGGCGTAAGAGGAGGAAGGCCGTGGAGGGTGTCTTGTCCCAGGAGCCCCGAAATCTTGGAATTACCAAGGCTCCCACCTCCTGCCTCCTCTCCATTCATCTGGGAAGTACCCCACCCCCAGTTCCCAATTTTGCCTTAGAAAGAAAACACAGAGTTGGGAACACTTTCTTGCAATGTGTGATTTTGCTCTGCTTAGTATTTTTAAAAAAAATATTTCTCACCTCTCTCCCATGGTGGAACTCAAGGTAGCTGCATGTAGTCCCCAGGGGTCTCCCTTCCCTTCCCTTCCCTTCCCTTCCCTTCCCTTCCCTTCCCTTCCCTTCCCAGCTCAGGCCAGCCCCAGTCCTGCTTATGTGCCTTCAGACCATCCTCTGGATCCCGTGTTCCTGTAGCCAACACGCCCCAGTGCTTTCACCCAGCCTTCTAAATCTGGGGTTGTCCATTGGCCACGGTACTGGGGATGATAGGACATGTAGCCCGATGCCTCTGGAAAGCTCCCTGGGGGAAGGCCAGCCAAAGTTCTGTAGCACATGGTCTACGAGTAACCACGAGAAATGTTCTCTTATAACTGATGACAGGCATGTGATGCATTTCCAGTTCATGGTCGAGACAAGGTGGAAGGCTGAAATAATCAGAGGACTTTTTACATGTTAAATATTTGGTAACCATCTGTCGATTCAGCTGGGCATTTTCTCAAAGTGACAGCTGAAGCTGACTAGGGACATTCATTCCATCGCAAGTTTGGTAGGTTCTTTACAAGAATCTAACCTTGAGAAATCCCTTCTCTGGAAACCACATTCTAATTTGGTCACGATTTCCACCACTTGGACTGAAAACCCTTCCAGCTTCCCTTAGAGGAAGTCCATTACCTGCGTAAGCCGCTGTCCTTCGCTCCCTTTTGGCATTTATTTAAGCCCCAGGATCGGATATTCTTCTGCTCACACGAAGTGCTGCACTGGCTGAACCGGCATAGCCCTTCCATAAGGTAAAGCGATTTCTCTTTTAGACAGTATTGTCACTGGTTAATAAGGGTCAAAGCAAAGGGGTTTAAAGCAGAGATGCGTGGCAGGGAAGTAGAGAGAACCCGTGTGGTGTAGTGGTTTGAGCAACTATGGGGAAGGTGGCCCTCCAGATGCTGCTGGACTGAAGCATGTGTTATCCCTCACTGTTGGCCACGTGTGATGGGAACTGCAGTCCAGCCATTACTGGAGGACCATGGATTCCACATCCCAGGTGGACTCGGTCAGAGGGATAGCACAATTTAAACCCCTTCTCAGCCTGAAGTTCCCTGTGTGTTTTTGGGTCAATCTCTTAGCGTGATTTGCCACCGTTTAATCTTCAGAGGAATGTTGTTGTTAGTCGCGAAGTCATGTCCAACCCATCGCGACCCCATGGACAACATTCCTCCAGGCCTTCCTGTCCTCCACCATCCCCCAGAGTCCACTTAAACTCACGTTGACTGCTTCCGTGACTCCATCCAGCCACCTCATCCCCTTCTCCTTTTGCAGTCAATCGTTCCCAGCATCAGGCTCTTCTCCAGGGAGTCCTTCCTTCTCATTAGGTGGCCAAAGTATTTGAGTTTCATCTTCAGGATCTGGCCTTCTAAAGAGCCGTCGGGGTTGATCTCCTCTAGGACTGACCGGTTTGATCGCCTTGCGGTCCAAGGGACTTGCAGGAGTCTCCTCCAGCACCACAATTCAAAGGCCTCAATCCTTTAGCGCTCAGCCTTCCTTATGGTCCAGCTTTCACAGCCATACATTGCAAGTGGGAAAACCATAGCCTTGACTATACGCACTTTTGTCGGCAGGGTAATGTCTCTGCTTTTTAGTATGCTGTCTAGATTTGCCACAGCTTTCCTCCCCAGGAGCAAGCGTCTTTTAATTTCTTGGCTGCAGTCCCCGTCTGCGGTGATCTTGGAGCCCAGGAAAATAAAATCTGTCACTACCTCCATTTCTTCCCCATCTATTTGCCAGGAAGTGAGAGGACCGGATGCCATGATCTTAGTTTTCTTAATGTTGAGTTTCAAGCCAACTTTTGCACTCTCCTCCTTCACCCACATCAAGAGGCTCTTTAGTTCCTCTTCACTTTCTGCCATTAGAGTGGTATCATCTGCATATCTGAGGTTGTTGATATTTCTTCTTGCAGTCTTAATTCCAACTGGTGATTCATCCAGTCCCACCTTTCTCATGATGTGCTCTGCGTATAAGTTAAATAGGCAGGGCGACAGTATACAGCCTTGCCGAACTCCTGTCTCAATTTTGAACCAATCAGTGATTTTGAACCAATCCGTGTCCAGTTCTCACTGTTGCTTCTTGACCCACATTTAGGTTTCTCAAGAGACAAATGAGATGGTCTGGTACTCCCATCTCTTTAAGAACTTGCCACAATTTGTTGTGATCCACACAATCAAAGGCTTTAGCATAGTCAATGAAGCAGAAGTAGATGTTTTTCTGGAACTTCCTAGCTTTCTCCGTGATCCAGGGTGGATCATGAGGAATGATCTGAGGAATAGTGGGATACAAATCATCATTGATATAATGATGATTATGAAAAGGAAACTGGTCTGAAGCAGCACAGCTTCCCATGCTCCTGTGTATTATTACGGCAACAGGATATTATATTACTTACTAGTTTCAAAAATAGTCTATTATTTATTTTATTGATTAGATTTATATCTCACCTTTTTCTTGCAAAGATATCGAAGCAGCTTACATCATTCTCCTGCTGTTCTCAGTCTTATCCCCACAACAACAACCCTGTGAGGTAGGCTGGGCTGAGAATCCATGACTGGCTCAAAGCCAACCAGTTGGCTTCATGGTCGAGTGGGACTAGAACCCAGGTTGCCAGAGTCCCATTTCTGCACTCTTAACTGCTACCTCACACTGGCTCTTCAAGCAACCAGTTTGTTGTTCCTGGGTTGTTTCTATCTCAAAAACCCAGAATTCTGCATTTGGACATCAGAGAAGACAACCCAGAAATCCTGCCATGGTTTGCAAAGCAGAACTGGGAAAAAGGTTGGGTGTCCTCTCACTGGCTCATTCCCAGCCCGCCTCAAATATAGTGTCCTCTCATTTGTCCAACGCAGATCTTTCTGAAGGGTTGTACGTGTCATATACACTTCCCATATAAGTATCCCCTTTTAACGGCATCCCAGCGCTCCTTGGCACACAACCTCGTAAATGCCGCAACTGCATTTCTCTTGCAAGAACCAGACCTTGAAATCCCGTGACTCTTTTGCACATTAGAAATACAGATGTGTGACGCCCTCCTGAGAAGTCTTAATGGGATTGTTCTCAATTCTTCTCGCAAAGCCCCCAGGGCCAGCGCGATGAGAGGATGGCGGAAGACTAGGATCAGCCCCTGCACAGTGTTTTTAGCATGAAATACAACAATGCAGAGTAGAAACAGGATGCCAATCAGATTGGCACAGCATCAAGGGAGGCGAGTTCCTAGCTGACGGCAAGAAGGGCTTTCTGCCCATGAATAAATACGATTATTTGCTCTGTGTGCCTCCATTCCCACATCCCAAAATGTCAGCTCTGAATAAAAAAGGTCATTGTGAGGAGAGACACGCCGCACTGCCTGGCTGCAACCTCTTTTTGGGTCTGTGCATGCCCGCTTCCGTGGTGCTCTGATCTGCAGTGGCACCCGGCGGCCTCCCGTTGCATCAGGCCACAACCCCCATCATCCCCAGCCAACAGCCAGGCTGGGGATGATGGGTTCTGTCATCCAGAGGCACCGAGGGCTCGGGACCCTCACACGGGAAGGCGCGTCATGCCGAGCTGGACTGTTGCTTCATCTGGCTGCGTATCATGTACACTGATTGGCACAGACTGTCCAGGATTTGGGCAGGTTTCTTCCTACCCGCTCAGGCACGCACGTACCTGCCTTGCCGGCTGGGACTGGACCCAGAACTAAACCCCACCCCAAAGCTCTACCTGACTGAGTTTACAGCTCTGGCCTTTCCTCTCTCCTTCTGGTCTAGCCCAGCCTCGACCGGCCTCCGCAATGCTCTTGGCTCTCCTCCTCCTCTGCGTCTCCTGGCACCCTGGGCCAGGGCATGGCGAAGTGGTGACCTCCTTCAAGGAGTCTTGCCCCCAGTTCTTCTTCAGAGGAATCCCGCCGAGCGACAGCATCAAGCCACAACAGTCGGCTCAAATTTGCCAGCGGTACAAGAACCTGCATCGCTTTGCCACTCTCTATGATGAGGCCATGCGTATCCCGGTGTACTCTGCCTACATCTACAACCCCGGAACAGCAAAGAGACCCAGGACGTGGATGGTGGAACCCCAGGTAAGGGACCCTCCCAGGTGTGCATGGCTTGTGTGTGCTCAGCTTCTTTCTGTTCCCTCCTGCAGTCATTGGGAAGAGAAGCACCGAGCATCAGGACAGCTCTGGTGTGGCTCCCTTGGTGGAGCCAGTCCACTTCACCACTGGTCTTCCTTCTCTTCTTCTGCCTTGCCTCTTCCTGGCAAGATGGTCTTCTCCAGGGAGTCTGACATCTTAGGATGTGTCCAAGACATGACACCTTTGGTTTCGGTTTTTGCTTCCAGGCTTGATTTGACCCAGGAGACACTGGCTCAGCTTTTAGCTGTCAAAAGGGTGCAGCTTTAGGATCACAAATCATAACGAGGTTTAAATGACCATACACAAAGAATCTCTCACATGAATAAATGCACAGTAGGATTAAACTGTGCAGTATTAACTCTACTAAGGCCAGACAAAGGAGCAATAAACAAAACCTAGCAGCAAAAATAACTCCAGGGGAAGCAGCAGCCAGGGCCAGACTTTCCCAGCCAGAAAAGCACGGACCAGGAATTGCCAGTCTCCCAGCTAGATGGGCATAAAAGTCTCATTGTGGGTTTCCTTGTGGAAATCCCTAGCTACTGTGTTTCCCCAAAAATAAGACCTAATACTATTTTTGGCACTTGCTAAAATATAAGACCTACCCCAAAAATAAAATCTAGCTGTGTTTATTCCCGGGGCCAGTGGGGAACATAAAAAGCCTTTTTAAACTTTGTTTTTTAACTTTAACTTAACGCACTGTGTGGAGGAAGCATCGGCTTATGCGGCTCAAAGACGCATAAGCCGATGCTTCCTCTATAGCGCCGGCTCCTGTCACAGGCGGAGTGACACCAAATGTACCAAATGTACATGTATTCATGCTGTTGTACATGAATAGGTGTGGATTGTTGTACACATTAAAAAATAAAATAAAAAATAAGACCTACCCCAAAAATAAGACCTAGTGAGTTTTTGTGAGCCAATATATATATATATAAGACAGTGTCTTGTTTTTGGGGAAACACGGTAGAGTTTTGGAGTTGTTGAAGAAGCGGAAGTGGCCGTGGATGTCCCGGGGGCTCGTGGCTTGCTCTAATGCAACTGGACTACAATAGCGGATGTTCTCTGGGTGGCTCAAAACAATGCATAAAACACGCACCACAAATAAAGCTCAAAGCGGTCAGTTAAGAACAGCATGAATGCCCGCCGTGGCGTGGCGTGGCGTGCCGTGCCGTGGCTGCCATTCATTGTTTGGGAGAAGAGGGCCGCCTTCACCTGGTGCTGAAAAGATGGCTAAGCCAGACCAGGTGGCCCTCAATGGGGATATCATTCTCCAACCAAGTGGTCACCACCAAGAAGGGCCCCATCTTGCTGTGAGCCTCCAAGGGGCATTCAGAGAAAGGGCTCAGATGCGGAGTGTAGTGTCTCTACACCCAAGCAAGCACCAGAAATGGCGTTTCCAGGCAGGCAGGGAGCAGTTCAGCCTGGAAGAGCCGCGGAGGAACCTGAGTCTGTGGGGCTCCGAAGGCGCATTGGGGTGGCTCTTCTTGTTGCTCGAATGTTTGCTGTGGACTCCGATTGTCTTTTGGGGGGTTTAAGCGCTCCTTCCACCCATGCTAAGCCAGAAAAACTCCCTGCAGCGCCCCCTTCCTTCCAGAGGAAACCATGCTGCGGCAAATCCTCAGACCTTATACAAATGGGGAGAGCCTGGCAACTGTGTTGAAAGCTGGACCGGTGGGGCACCCGCTGTTGGATCACCCCTGGCTTTTTTGAGAGGTGTCTCTTGTGCTTGAGTCGTCCTACTAGAGTTCATTTTGGAGAAAACCCGTAAGAACCACAAGCATCTAAACAAATGCTGAAAATTGCTAAGGCAAGCTGAGGGAATGGTTACAGGAGAGCCAATAACCTTGGTCCTGGAAAACAGAATGGGTTGGCTGCAAGCCATGGTGATGAGGTTGTGGTGGATATAAAATTTAATTACCACCTGGCAGGGGATTTCTATCTAGGAAGGACTGAATGAAAGTATATAGGAAGGAGACACCAATTGTATTGGTAAATATTCCAAGAATTAACCAAGAAGGAGCTGGAAAGAATAAGTCCATCGAGAACAGTTTAATGAATTTTTGTTTGGATTTTAGTGTCTAACAAGGAACAAAACAACAGAAAAATTGCAATGAAATAGGGACACACAGAAAGTCTTACTCATGCGTCCAAGTGACCCCTTGTTTCTCTGTAAGAGGAACCGGGGCATCAAAAGTATAAGAAACCTTGTGTCCAACATGGAAACCAGCTCTGATACCAGCGGCACCTGTGTCTACACCACAGTAAGGTTCAGCCTTACAGGATGAAGCTTCAGGACAGCCACATGCTTATGGGCTCTCTCTTTACTTTCTTTCAGAATGAGGTTCTTGTCCCCTGTGCTATTCTCTTCCATCCGCTTTATAGGGCATAGGAGTCTTTGTTTTCTTAAGAATTATAAAATGTAAATATGTGCAGTTTATATTTTTGCTACCTTGCTAATTTGTAAAGTGAAGACATTTGAGCTGCACTTTTAGACCCTACACCTGTTCTACTTTTCAGGTAATAAAAGTAGTCTTTCTTTTCCAAGTGTGTTGAATTAAGGAGAGATTTAAACGTGCTTTACGTGGGGCTTCCCCTGAAGACAGTCCGAACACTTCAATTGGTGCAAAATAGAGCTGCCAGGTTGCTGACGGGAACGGGGCGTTATGCTCACATGACTCCAGTCCTCCGTCAGTTTCACTGGCTTCCCATTGAAGCCCGGGCCCAATTCAAGGTGTTGATTATGACCTATAAAGCCCTAAACGGCTTGGGTCCTGGCTACCTGAACGAGCACTTACGTCCGTATATGCCTGACCGCCCTTTGAGATCTGCGGGAGAGTCCCTTCTCCAGGAACCCTCCATGAAAGAAATTAGGAGAGTAAGTACCCGGAGGAGGGCTTTCTCTGCAGTGGCGCCCAACCTATGGAATTCACTCCCCAAAGAGGTCCGCCTGGCACCGTCGTTACTGGTTTTTCGGCGCCAGGTAAAGACCTTTTTATTTAAACATCATTTCAATTGTTAAAACATATGATCTGGCCAGGACAACTTCTTCCTTCTCTTTCTCCTCCTATATTTTTATTTTATACTGATAATTTTAATTTTATATTTGTATCTCAGTGTATTTTTTGTATTTTTGTATTTAGTGGTAATTTATTATGTGCTATTGTATTTCAATGTATTTTATTGTGTTGTAAGCCGCCCCGAGGTTTCGGCAAGGGGCGGCATAGAAATGTTATAATAATAATAATAATAATAATAATAATAATAATAATAATAATAAACACTCAGGGGAAACACACGTTAGACTCCAGCAAAACACCCAGAGCCTTTCAGGGACTGGGACACAAAGTGCAGACACAGGGCGAGAATCTCGAGACAATCCAGGTGTGACCCACTTATCTCTTTGCTTACTTCCCTTCCGCCTCTTGTTCCGCCAAGCTGGTCGATCGGTCGTTGGAACAACCGGACATGGAAACCGAAGGGGCCTTCCTGAACCAATATGTGAGCAAAGAGTTCGCTCTTCAGAGGAGCCAGGCTGTCCCGCATGACTACAAGAACCTCTCTGGACTGAACAGGGGTCACCTGAACCCGAACGGGCACCAGCTGGACTGGGATGCCAAATCGTCCACCTTCACCTTGACCAACGTTGTTCCGCAAAACATCAAGCTCAACGGCGGGGCCTGGAACAACTACGAGCACGTGACCATGGCGAGCAAGACCGCGGGATGCAGCAGGACCTTTGCCATCGTGGGCGCGGTGCCAGGGAACAACTTCATAGCTGGCGGGAGGGTCAACACGCCCAGCTACGTCTGGTCGGCCGCCTGCTGTGTCGTAGACAACAATCACCTGCGAGCTTGGGGCATCATTGCCAGGAACGACGAGAACGTGGTGCAGGCCCTCACCCTGGGGCAACTGGAAGCGCGGCTCACGCAGCTTTACGGCCGCGATCACATCTCCCTGTTTGCTGAGGACTGTCCCCGGCAGTAAGAGCTTGGCCCTGGCGCTGTGAATCCCACTGCTCCCAGAAGCTGCTTCACCTGATCCAGGAATGCCTTGCGAGCACCTGTGCGTGGCCTGAGCTCCCACTAGGCTTCCTTTTAACACCAATTGACCCTTTGTTAATGCAAAGATTCCCCTCAGCGGGAGGGGAAATATAGGGTTTTTGCTTGTGCACCAGAGTGCCTCTGGAACCCTGGACCAAGGCAGTTTGTGACTTCTCCGAGGCAGTTCTGCATCTGTGAAATGGGTATAACGAGTGACCTACCTCACAAGGTTGTTGTGAGAGCAAGCGCAATAAAGTTTGAAAAGCAGCTTCTAGATGTGTGCCTATCTCAGAACGGCGAGGGTATGGAATATACTCTCTTACGGGCTGCACAGAATTCTTGAGCGGTTTCTATGTGTCCTGCAAGTCCCTCCGGTGGGAAGGCCAGCTCTCCTTCTAATTAAGGCTCCTAGATCTCATGGTGACATGGCAGAGAGGCTGTGATGTCGCACTCCCGTGCCCAAAGCCATGAGCTTGATGCCCACTGGCTCTGCTTGGTGAGGAGGGGGATGAAGGAACGAGGTGGGAAGCTGGGCGGATCTGAGCGAAGCAACCCGAAGGCATGCAAGAGCCTTTGGCCTTCTCTTATTTTATTTATTTATTTTTCGATGTATGTCCTGCCTTTTTCCTGCAAAGGGCTCAAGGCAGCTTCCATCTCCTCCTCCATCTTATGGTTCTCTTGTGGTTGCCATGATGTTCCCATGAGCCAGCCCTGCTAAGGGCACTGACTTTAAATCTGCATCTCACTGAGGTATCTTTTTTCTTTGTTTTTCGAAAGCCATATACGGTAGGGTTCCCTAATACAGAACTGACTCCCTGCTTTCAGAGTAAAAATGTGGGGGGGGGGCACAGCTGCTTGATAGTGTTTGGGGTTGTCTGGACCCTTACAGAGGGCCCAAGGGTGGAGGGCTGCCGCAGCTGGGTAATCCCGTTTCAGCAGCAGTTTGAGAGGCAGTGTGGTTAGTGGTTAGAGTCTTGGACTGGGATTTGGAAGATCTGGGTTCTAGTCCCAGCTGGGTGACGTTGGCTCAGTCACAGACTTTCAGGCTAATCTCCCTCAAGGGGCTGTTGTTTTGAGGAAAAAAATGGAGTGGAAGAAAACCTGGGAAGCCCCCTCGGGTTCTTTGCAAGAGGAAGAAGGCAGGAGGAACCGCTGCCTGCCTTGGCTTCCCCGGCCTTCTTGCAGATCAGGCTAGCTATTTCCCTCAGTGCCATGTTCAGAGCCTTCTACTTTGGCCTTGCTAAATTTCAGAAGTCTGTCTTGGAGCAGAGGTAGAGTGGCAGTTTTGCTCTCTCATCTCTGGGTGCTGTTGGGACGCCTTGATAGCAGCTGGATTACGGGGTTCAGTCAGAAAAGACCCCTTTCACCTTGAGCCCCAGCAGTTTATTGAAAGATCACTCAGACCCCCTGCAGTTACTTACGACTGCATGCGACCGGGTAGTGCTCTGTACCGCCAACTATGAGCTTTGGGAACATATGCAGAGTGTTTTATAGATTCTGAGTCACATGACATAGCAGCTGATGACAAAATAAGGGGAACACAGTCAGAAGAAGGTGAGAGGTTTGTGGAAGGGACTCAATGCAATAGCATTAATTACAGGAAATTAACATAATGATCCCTGAGGCACTAGGATTATTGTGGGTCTTGGCATCCAATAAGGGTGGTTGCAATGCTGTTAACCTGGATGCCTTATCAGTTCTGATCAGTTCTGATCAGCAAAACAATAGCCCTGGCAGCCTCTAGACAAGCTATCAGTTCCCACTTCTTAAACTAAGAGCAAATGCCAAACAATAACCTGGCTTGGAATTCTGCTGCTTTCTGAGAAAGGGGTGCAGCTTTGATTTTATAACACAAAGGCACGTGTAAGCAACCTTTTTCTGCCAGGATTTATCTGAATTTTCCCAACAGTTCCAATATCCAGAAGGTCCTGGCTTGGACGGGGCAGATGCACAAAGGTGATGGCAGTTTGTTTTTGCACTGAAGGAGCTGAGAGATTGTGGGCAAACCCCAGAACCCTCTGCCTTCCCTGTTTCTTCACACTGCCCAGTTTCTTTTAAGGTGCTCTCCTGTCCAACTTTAAACACCCCTGCAAGTTTAGTCTATGCCCTTAGGCTTCAACCCTAAGTACACTTACTTGGCAGTAAATCCCACTGAACTTGGTGCAACTTATTTCTAGGCAAACATGGCTGGGATAACAGCGCACAGAGCTTTTTCGGGTGTCCCAGCATCCAAGGGTTTATTCTCAGTGTATTGGTGGCATCAAAATGGTTGAATGCAATGCAGAGGAGAACCTTGGGGGTTTAAAAATTAAACTTCCAAAGTTAACGGGTCTGGTCCCGGATGTCATGGTGGCTACCCATGTGGGTTGCTATTTACCGTGCTACAAGTTCTCTCAGATTTGCAGGTTATGTTTCCAAGCCCTTCCTGTGAAAGGCTACCAACATGCCATATCCTGTTGACTGAAGTTGGGTGTCTTTGGTCAGCATTAGACTCCATCTGTGGTCTCTCAGATATAACCCACAGCCTTGCAAAGATGGAAAACCAGATAGAGGAGCCTAATAGCATCCGACATATTTTGATCAGGACGGCATCAGCAATACTGGTGCAACAACCGCAGAGCCTGCTGGGTCGAGCGATGGCTGGTTTTGTCTTCAGCCCTTATATATACTCAGCTGGCACTAAGGAGCAGTGCAAGAGCCAAAGTGGCCTAGTGGTTAGAGTGTCGGACTGGGACTCAGGAGTCCTGTGCTTTAGTTCCCATTTGGCCGTGAAGGTCACTGGGAGACCTTGGGCCGATCACAGAGTCTTAGCTTAATCTACCTCACAAGGTTGTTGTGAGGATAAAATGGAGAGCAGGAGGAGGAGGAGGACTATGGAAGCACCCTTGGGGTTCTTGTAGGAAAAAAGATGGGAAACATATAATGAATGGATACAACTGATGGACCACCTCACTTTAGATTCAAGGATGCTTGGGAGGAAACAAAAGCACCCGTGTCACAGATGACACACAGGTTATTGAGTACAGTGGTGACAGATGGATGCAGGATATAAACAAGGGAAAGAAGGCTTTCATTCTCCTCATCTGTGGCTCTACTGGTTCCCTGAATGAGCCCCCAAAGTTGCCTGGGTGAGCAACACTGCTACTCCTCTCCCTAAGCCGAGAACAAAAGGGAATGCCTCTTGCCCCGGCTTTTATAAAATTCTGTTTCCCACAACTTGAGGCTGTTAATACACACAGGACTTCACCCTCCTTCCTGGGAGATGGTGGCGGGTGGGGGTGGCAAGCCTGCCCCAGGAAAGCAAACAGTTTTGGGTCTCACTGCAAATGCAGCTCTTATCTAAGGAGGACACTTGGGAATAGCTGCCTCACAGCAATCCTGTCTATTGCTCTTCCTCGCACGCTGAAGACATAGCTTCAAGAAAGTAGCTACGTGGAAAGAGAAAATGAAATTTTCTGGCTAACCTTTGTCTGGTCTTCTTGGAAGGGGCGGTAGAAGAATGGGCCACGATATATGCAAGTCACCCGTTTTATTTGCGGAAGATCCCCATGCCAATCATCCCCAGTCATATGCATTATTTAAAATTATTTTAGGCCACCTTTATTAAGGAGCTCTCTCAAGGCGATCCACTTATTCAATAAAAATGCACGGAAACAGAGACCCCCCACCAAAAGTCAATAAAGCAGCAATTACCAATAATACCAAGCTGATTCCAGTGGTGCGGGGCCCCCAAGAGAAGGCCCCCTGCCTTCTGCACACCAGTTTAACCCCCTTGGGCAGAGGGTGTGAGAAGATCCTCTGAGAAGGACCTCAACGTGGTGTCAGGAAGCGGTGCTCTAATACTGGAGCCCTGACTCCACCTTTGGAGCCCGGAATCCCAAAGCACCTGCCCTGCCCCGCTGCCTCTGGGTGCTTTTAAGGAGTGCAGGCCAGATGTCCCTTTTGCAGATGGAAGGCCCTTAAAAAACCGGGTCCTTTAAAGTCCCGTGCACAGAGATCTCAGAGCAGGTGCAAATGAGGACACGCAGCTTTGTGCTGTGGGCCAGAACCCCAGGTCTTTCTGGTGCCCAGCGCCACCTCCGCTCGGAGCACAATGCAAGGGATCAAGCGGTGGATGACAGGAAAGAGACCTCCTTCCGGGACCAGTGGGAGTCGCTTCGAGTCGAAACTTAGGTGATTATGATTACAATTTATTTCATTTCTATTCCACCCCATAGCCAAAGCTCTCTGGGCAGTTGGCACAATCCATAAAACAATTATTAAAATGCAATAAAATATAGAATGTCAAAATATATCAAAAATCTAAAACAGCTAATAATACTCAGTGAAAATGCAGGATGGCAAGTCCCTGGGAACCCAGATAGGTCTTTAAAAGCATAGAGGGCAAGGATGATAAATGCGGTGCCAGGCAGGCTGCAAGGGGGAGGGTATTCCAGGAGCAGGGGGCTACCATAATATGGACAGAGGCACTGCTTCTTAATCTCTCATTGACCAGGCAGTGGGAGAAGCCACTGTGAGAAAGTGAAGCAGGCTGGAAGGAATGCAGTTGCCCTGTGAGAGGAGAGCATTTCGGGATCCATTCAGGTTCTGCTTGTCCCCTTGAAGGCATCGCACAGAAACTCCTACTGGGGTATTTCATGCCGGCGTTCATCCATGCTCCACCTGTATATGTGTAAATAAAGCAGAGATATTACAAAACAGGACCAAGCATTTTGTTCCAAAGGGTCCCAGAGTTGCGTGGAGACATCCACCCCCCGGACTGTCTCACGGCTTAGCGTTGAGGGTAACATAAGCAAGAGCATTTTAGCAAAAAACGGGATGTGTCTTTCTACTTACCATGGATCCATTAAGAAGATGGCTTATAAAAAGACGGTTGTGGCCATGATCGCACTAGAGAAAGCAGCCGCTAAGGGGTGAAACAAAGAAAAGGAACTTTTACACCTCCTGTACTGTATCCTCTCAACCATCTTCCAGAAAGTTTGGTTTTCAGTGGCCAATCTAGATGAGATGGCTCTAAGTCAAACAAGGTGACACCCTTCTGTCTGGTGCTAAAATGCTTTTAAGCAGGTGCCTTCATCATGGGCGATGTTCTGATATCGTTCCAGCTCGGTTGGACAACTAATGTCATCCAGATCAAGTTCCGAGCAACATTCAAGCTATGGCCAACCT